TGTGTGTGTGTGTGTGTGTGTGTGTGTGATGTCCGCGCTTTTTATCACCTACTTTCAACCCGAGAAGCGGAAAAGCTGGAAGGCTGAAATTTTAGGAGAATATTCCCTGTCCAAATACAACTTAAAAGTTTCAAATTCAGTGTCCAGGCGTGTGTGATTCTCATGTACGAGCACTTAAATTTTTTGGCGGGGTAATTGCTCACCGAACAGCTAGGTCATTTCTAAATCTAGTCGAAAGTGCCCCGGCTGCCGGTTCGAAGATGTATTTTTTGCACAGCCCCTCCGTAGGTTTTTGCTGCTAACGGCACTGTTTTTTCCGGCAAATGCTTCTAAGCTAAGAAAATTGAGAGTAGCCACCAACAATGTCAGAAATTATTACAATGACTCCCAATCCATGCTCAAAAACACAGCATTCTAGATGCTTCGGTTGCAGAGTTACGTCAAATTTAAAGTATTCGTACTTGGGTGGCAACGTGAATGCTTTCTTCGTGTGCGGTTTCTCACACACGGTTCTGGATAACGCTCAGAAAATTTCAGCACTCTAGCTGTTTTGGATGCGAAGTTATGCCAAATTTCACGTATGTTTGCGTGAGGCGTGAAGATGATGTGTAAATCATTTTTGCGTCCATCTGGTCAAAGGCCACAGTCGGTTATGCTCAGGAACTTCCAGTCCTCTAGTTGCTTCAGTTTTGAAACTACAAAAGTGCATGCATGGAATTTTCATGTGCCCATATGTAAGACGCAGAGGGGCTGGAAAGCTCAATTTACTTTCACGAGCTACTTTCACGAGCATAGCAGTGAGCGACAAGTAAAGCTGCAAAATTGCAGCTCTCTACAACTTCTTGGTCAGTTTAAATCTGGAGATGGCATGATGCCAATTTAGGCTTTGACGTGTGCGACGTGTGACCTAGGAGCGCGTGAAAGCTGAATTTGAAATCTTTGAATTAGACGTGACAAAGGAACATCTCTGTGAAGTTTCGGCCTCCTAGCTTGCGCCGTTCCCAAAAACACTTTCCCGCCAAAAAAATTTTCACGTGCCCGTACGTGAAAACCACGCAGAACTGAGCGTCGATTTTGAGGGGAGGAGCCCGCACATATGTGTAGATTAAGCTACGTGAGTAGCAACGTGAATGCTTTCTTCGCGTGCGGTTGCTCACACAAAAGCTACAAGTTTTAACCTTGTAGTTTTTGTGGATCTTGAGGTGAAAACTCGTTACAGACGTGCACACAGACACACACATACATACACACAGACAACGCCTCGACAATATGCGTTTTTGCACGGCATAGATGCATTAGCGACGTGCACCCGGCGGACCCATGCGATCATACGTTTTTGCGATGTTTCGTGCTGTAATGAGATTGCTCGGAAACTCAGTAGCTAGAAATGTGTGACGTACTGATCCTCGAAATTCAGGAAGTTAATTGTCTATGCTGTAATTGAAAGGGAACATTTCCTGAAAATTCCAGCCTCCCTGCTTTTCCGGCTCCCGAATTAGCCGTTTTCCCGCCAAAAATTTCCATGGGGCCTTACATTAGAACCACGCACACTGAGAGTCTGAATTCGATAACTTTAAGTTGTACATGTGCTGGGAACATTCCTTTAAAATTTCAGCCTCCTAGCTTTCCAGGTTCCCGAGCTAGCCATTTTTCCGCCAAAAAATTCCACCAGCAGTACGTGAGAACTGCGCATACCTGGAAGCTGAATCTGACAAATTTTTGTTGTATATGTGCTGGGAATACTCCTTGTAAATTTCAGCCTTCCAGCTTTCCATATTCCCAATTTAGCCATTTTCCAGCCAAAAATTTTCACGAGGCCGTACGTGAGTACCACACATGCTGCGGGCCTGAGTTTGATGATTTTAAGTTATACTTGTGCTGAGAACATTTCCTGAAAATCTCAGCCCTCCAGCTTTCTTGGTACCTGAGTTAGCGATTTTCGTGCCAAGAACCCTCACGGCGCTGTACGCAGGACTATGCGCACCTAGGGGCTGAATTTGAAACCTTTGAGTTTTCTGTGGACGAAGAATATAACCACAAAGCTTTCTAGCTTTTCTGGTTCCCGAGCTGGCGATTTTCCCGCCAAAACTTTCACCCCTCATACGCGGGGGCGCAGACTTGCATGAGGGTTGGTACCATGGTCCTGGTGTGGCACTTGACCGAGGAAGCCACCGGCAAAATTTTGGCACCGGAGCTTGCTTGAGTGCTAAGTTGAAATATCCGGATAGACACATACATACATACATACACACACACACACACACACACACACACACACCGAGATCGTCACAATACGCGTTTTTGTATTTGCATATACGTAAAAACGCATAAAAACGACCGTTAAACGGAAATTGTTTATTTTCGTTTATGCAAAATTTATGATAATTTACGATAGTGAATGTGAGGCAATAAACATTCATGCAGTTAACCTATTTACTTCAAGTCTGGTGCAAAAATGCATTGTCAAACCGGCAAGCTTGGTGCGCTCCAATCAAGGTTACTCATTAGATAAAGTCTGTTGAAAAATAATGCACCTTTATAAGGGCGATGCTCTTTTTGTACTTTTGCGAAAAAAGTAGCGTGTATCCAAATATCATGCATGCACGAAAAAGTGCAAGGAAGTGTTCAGGTATAGAGAATCTCGAGGTTACAGATAATATACAAAAGCTGTTCGTTCAGTGCAATCCCACTTTTCAAGAATTTTCGCACAGGAACTCTAATCCCATCTAGATTTACAATTCATATTTGGACTATCCACATGTCGGTGATCTGCATATCTGTTAAAAAGTGTGCGAACATTCACGCTTTGTAAGTATATTACCAGTTCATGATCCTTATATGCACAAGACCCATTACAACACCTGGGAAAGTTTGTACATGTCTGCACAAGCGATTGTGATAGGTTGGGCCCTGCTTACAATGGCTTTGTCAATAAACTGCGTTGATTTAAATTTGATCACAATTAAGCCTGTACCTGCAAATAAAGTCTAACTTCCTCACAGTCTTTTTTCCGAAGAGTGCTGGCGGTTTGTCAAGAATTTACACAAATCATACGTCCCGAGAGAGGCGCCGAGTCGGTATAAATGCTTTCTTGAAATTTTGTGCTCGCTTCGGCTAGAATGAACGAAGCAGTGGGTCAGATGTCATATGTGCAAGAAACTAACTTCAGAAGAAACCGTGCTTGCTGTTTTCAAGAAAATTTTGAATAGATAAAAGGGGACTGGGCGACCAGCGCTCTTGCTTTTGAGGATGTTTGCGGTGGCAAGTTGGCAACTACGTTTAGGATGAAAGGCTGCGAGAAATCTTTAGTAGTCGAAGGACAGCGACGTAGACAGGCCGCTTCTTTCAATAACCATCTCCAGCAGTAGAAGGGCTTTCAAGATGTGAACTTCCTCGAAAACGACAGAATGTTTGGCGACCTGCTTCGTGTGAGCGAAACACGGTGAAGGTTCGAAGTCATCGCAATCCAACAGAGTAGTAAAATAAGAGTGCAAATTTCTAAAAAAGCCAAAGATTTTTATCACTCAGTTTGGGTTTTTATTATTGTCATAAAGGCCTCTCACAATATATCGTTTTTTGCAGATGCCAACAGTTGCTGTCAATACCGTTCTACAGGAAACGCGAATTCTAGCTGGCGATGATCTTTATGCAAGGATTCTGTTGGATTCTTCTGATCCAGATATGCAGGTGAACGAATTTTTCGCAGAGGTGGAAGGAACAGGACGCACTGGATGGGTTAACATACATACCGATAAAATCTATGAAAGAGAAAAGGTTATTTTAAAAACTGTAAAGAAAGCGTCCTTCTACAGATTTTACATTCTAAGCATCTCAGCGTGGTCTGGGAGTGACGAAACACGGTGTTATGTATTTGCTTTGGCTAGTGCTGCTATCGTCTAATGATGAGCCGCTAGCTATCCTACAGTGGTAGTCCGTTTGCTGGAGAGACCTCTTAAAAAGACGAGTAGCTCAGCGGTTCTCTCGACAGAAGTGTCTGATAAGGCTTTAGCCGTTTGGAGATGTCACTGGTGCATGTTATGCATCATTAACTTGTCTCGAACAATGCCACTTCAAGGCCGCGGTGAGCACTTTACCAACTCACGAAAGTAAGAGTTACAAGAAGTTTTCAGTTAATTAAAATAAATACCACATTCGGCTAATTTCCTGTGAAATAGAAGGGCAAATGTTTTGTTTTTGCTTATGGAAAGTGAGCTTTCAAACAAATATGAGAATGTATTCCTACAAAACATGTTTGACGTCCGGAGATTAACATTTATAGACTTATCTAAAAGCCTACATTCCACTGATGGCGGCTGGCTCTATTGTACCTGTGGGAAGGCGTCAATTTCCGATACGTATTCCTATTCCGGAGGATGCGCCAAGCAGCTACGAAAGCGAGTTCGGCAGCATCCGTTATACGATCAAAGTGGTACTGAAGACGAACTCCGACCAGGTGACTGAACTTCCGACTAACAATTTAAATGCTGTTATGCGCATTGACTCTGTTTACCCCAACAGTGACATGTAAGTCAGTTGCACCGAGGAAAATGGATCCACAACTGCGAAAGAATGCCACATTCCATCCCATGCGCAAGATTTCAGGAATCGTCAGCGATGTGAAAAATCACTGGCAACGCGCAGCAAGACTACATCGTCAGCGATGCAATCATATGTTTTTGAAGTATTTCGTGCTGTTGTAAGATCGCTTGGAGTCCCAGTAGCTAGAATTTAAGGCATACTGGTCCTCGAAGTTAAAGAACTTGATTATGCAACTGTACGGTATTTGGTCAGGGAACATCCCCTCAAAATTGCAGCTTTCAGTCTTTTCTGGCCTTTGAGTTATCAATTTTCTTGCCAAAAATTTTCGAGGGCCCAATGTGTGAGAACCACACAGAGGTTGAGGTTGGGTTTGAAAACCTTAAGTTGTACATAAGCTGAGAACATTCCCTTAAAATTCCTGCCTCCCAGCTTTCCTGGTCCGCAAACTAGCGATTTTCCCGCCAGGAACCTTTACGAGGCCGTATTTGAGAACCACGCATAACTGGAGGCTGAATTTGAAATCTTTAAGTTCTAAGTGGGCGGACAACATAACCGCAAAATTTCATCTTCATAATATTTCTTGTTTCCGAGTTAGCGATTTTCTCGCCAAAACTTTTGCGCGCTCACACGGGAGGCCTAGACGTACATGAGGGTTGATACCACGATCCGATGGTGGCATTCGGTCGAAGGACTCACTGACAAAATTTCGGCTCCAGAGCTTGCTTGGCTACTGAGCTGAAATACCCGGAAAGACAGACAGACAGAACACACACGCACATATGCCGGTGTCGTCACAATATACGTTTTTGCATCTGCATATATGCAAAAACGCATAAAAACCGACCGTTAAACCGCATTTTATTTTATTTTTTGCAAAATTTGCGATGATTTACGCTACTAGGCACACAAAGTAAATGTAAAGCGAAAAACATACATACATATAGTTAACGACCTGACTGCTTCAAGTATAATGCAAAAACGCATGATCTAGTGTGTTTCAGCCTAAGTTTGCTACGAAATGCGGAAAAATGAGCATAAGTTATTTTGAAACTGAAGTAATACCAAAAAAAAGTAACTTCGAACAAAACTTTTAGGTCTTTTAAATTATTCTACCAGGATTAGTTCGGATGAAGTTGGCGGTTGAAGCGAACATACGGAGAGTCCGAGGTGACTACTTATCTAACTATTTTGACACTGTTACTTCGTCTGGTGCCAGCTTGTTGCCAGCCATTGCCTTCTTTTCATCTTCCGAATGGATTATCAGCTCAATCGATATCCCATACAGTAGTAACTTGCAAAGTTTTAGCCCTCTCGAGACGTCGTTGGTGTATGCGAAGCGTTGTTTGCGTTGCCACTTTTTATCTTCGATGAATAACAGCTAGAAGGTGATTATAGGCCAAAATACTCTTACTGACATCAAAACGTTACGATTTTGTTTTAGTCAACATGCACGGAAATATTTCCGTTCGCAGTGACCGCACGATCATTCTTCGATAACATACCGGTGAACATTATGAGAAATATAGAATACAAGGATGAAATTGACTTCACTTGCTGCACGCTGCCCTTTGGCACCGTATCGCTCAAGATTCATGTTCCAAGGACAGCTTTTCGCTTGGGCGAGGTTTCAGTCTTGTTTTTTTTTTTTTTTTTTTTAATAAATTTGTCAGTATAAATATGATTCCCACGCATGACTAATGACTCAACACATGTTTTTTGTCTTGCAACTAAGCATAATTCCACATAGTTGTTCGAGTGGCTGTGTGGAATTATATGCATTAAAGAGAGGTAGAATAGAGAAAAATGGAGAAGTTGCCAGCTGCATCAATGGCCAGAAGAAATGAGGCATTTAAATAACAGCAAGTTAGAATGAATAACTATCAGTGGTGGTGAGAAAGACCTGCTTTCGCATCTTGGAATGTGTCCGAGTGCTGATACACTCGAAACAGATGCTGTAGAAAATTCCTACACTTTTCTTCCTGCATACGTTATTTTTTGCGGAGTGAGGCGGGAACAGACAGTAAGGACTTGCAAGGAGCGCGATCTGTTTTAAGCACAGGAAGATCGTTTGTAGATTAGCTGAAGAACCATGCAGGCGGATGAACGAATGCGATATATGTAATATTTGTCATCAAAGAAATGACAAAGAATAGTTAGGAGTGAAAAAAAAGGACATCTGGTAGGTTATTCACAATCCAGGCTGAAAGCACCAGGCTTTTCGGTGCGATCATGCTTTTCTGCGCTAAACTTGCAGATCGCTAACAGCAGGAATGGTCCTTACGCTGTAGTTTAACACTTGGACTCATACTGGCTGTGTTTTGACCCTTCTTCGTATGCAGGAGAAAAGACGTTGGCTGGGGCGAAAGTGTTGCATTAGAAGGCCAAGTAAAACTCTAGCGTACAAGATTATTAGTTTTTACGTGTTTTTGCACATATGCAAATGCGAAAACGCATACTGTGACGACCCATGGTGTACGTAGGTGTGTATATTTGTGTGGATGTGTGTATGTGTGTGTGTACGGGTGTGTGTTTGTCCGGGTATTTCAACTCGGTAACCAATTAGCTTCCGGCAATGAAATGCTGCGAGTGGTATTCCCAGCCAAGTGCCACCTAAGACTCCGGTACCAACCTTCCTTCACGCTTGGGCCCCGCGTAAGGGTACGTGAAAGTTTTGGCGGGAAAATCGCCAATTCGGGAATCGGAAAAACCTGGAGGCTGCCATTGTAAGGAGATGTTCCCAGCTCACGCGCAACTTAAAGATTTCAAATTCAGTCCTCAGGTCTGCATAGTTCTCACATATGGGCAAGTGAAAGTTTTGCTGGGAACTGTAAATTACGATAAGTTTTGCAAGGAGAAAAATGAACAAATTCTGGTAACCGATCATTCACTGGAAATAACCAAGCTATTTCACAAGTTAGTAGTTTTCCCGCCAAGCGAGTTAATAGCTTTTCCATGCCCTCACAGACCAGGCGTACTTGGAAACTGAATTTAAAATCTTTAAGTTGTACATGAACAAAGAAATTTCAAAACTTAAGCTTTTTAGCTTTTCTGTTTCTCAGCTAGCAACTTTTCCTACTAAAATCTTCATGTGTTCACACGTGAGACTCAGACGTGAGTGAAAGCTAGTATCACATTTTTGGAGTAGCACTTGGCCACGTGTCCCCATGGCAAAATTTCAGCAGTAAAGCTTAACTGATTACAAATTGAAATACCCGGACACACACACACACACACACACACACACA